CTTGAATTTAATGCATCTAATTAATTAATACCTTAGCCTTTTTTTAATTACTTTAATTAGTGATTGTGCTTTAATTATTATTTCTTTAACGCATATTTAAATATTTTACTGATTTTATAAATTACTTGGTAAATAGTAATTAATTATTTTTCGAATGATTTTGTGGACTTTCGTTTCTTAGAGAAGGCAACAAAGTAGCACACTGTATCGCTCGTTTTGCACTTTCAACTCAGCAAGTTTGCTTTTGGGAGCAGCCTCCTGATTTTATTCAGAAGGATTTGCTTGCCGACCTCATGTAACCTTTGTCTTATTCAATATTATCGCTAATTTTCAAAAAAAGAATGAGTTGTGGTGCTTACCAATGTGACTACGTAGGAGAGAGGGTAGCAGCATATAACTTAACGGGGAATAATTCCATGTGTAAAAACAATTTTTGCAATACACGTTTGTCGCTCAAATAGTTAAGAGCCTTCATCGATATACCCAATGTGTGTATTCAATTTTGTACCTCTCTAAAATACGTCCTTTCTTCTATGTACTCTAAAAGCGCATGTGCTGTTTAATTTCCATTTCTACCAATCGTTTGCACAACTCCAAAAGCAGATTCGCCACTTCAAAATATATTATTTCCCCAAACTATATATATGCAGTACTGAATTCTATCTTTCTACAAAACAAAAATTTATTAGATGATTATGTATTAGTGTGAAACGCAATGCGCTTGACCTACGTACAGAAGAATATAATTCGTATAGAATTCACTGAGGTGTTTAATATGATATAATAATGATTTGAAGTGTGTGAGAGTGTCTGATAGGGAGGAGAGATTACCCGACACATTTGGTTGGGAAAGGGAAAATCTATGAAGTTTTCGTCAATAGATTCCCAGTGGGTGGTGGTTTGTAATGTGGTAAATAATTTATAATAGTCCTCTGATGGGCAGAATGGTGCGAATATATGTTCTATATCAAGTCTCTCAGTGCACTGCATATATAAATTCAAAATAAGCGACTTGTAAAATCAAAGACATATAAAGCATGCTAATAAATTAATTAACCACAAGGAATCTTCTCACCTCCTTGTAAATTTGCATACTGTAGAGGCATGGAAGGTTGTTTGGATCTACATCAACATAGTTACCCTTGCAGTTCCTTTCTGTTGACTTTGAAAACATAAAGCAATCATTGAATTTTCAAAGCTGCAGTTTAGCTAATAAACTTACATAATTATTAATTTAATGAGCAAATTTGATATAAGCGCCATTCTATCTGATATAAGCGCCATTTGATGAGCAAATTTAATTCTCGAATTTCCATCCTCTTTTTCCTGTGTCACTGGGTTAAAACAAATCTGAAATCTGAAATCTGAAATGTATTGGACCTAGAATAATTAAAACAAGTTATCAGATACCCATTTTTCATATTAGATACCAATCAACTAACCAACCAACCTGCAGTTCATCCCTGCTTAATTACTACTTTCGTAATGTTTTGTTATTTACTAATTTATATTTTGAAAATGTTGTAATGGTTAGGGCGCATACTTGATAATTACAATTAGAGATATTTAGTCAAATAACCAATCTTAGCACTAAAACTATAAATAAATCCTACACTATTTAATTTCTATAAACAAACCCAAAAAATGACATTTGGCATTATTGAATTGAATTTTGATTATTAAATTACTTTGATGTCCTATTGAGTGTTTTGGGCTTTTTTTATATGTTTTGGGGTTGGGTTTGTTTTGAGAAATTAATGGCAGTTTTGTAATTTAAAAGAAATTAAAAGTCTTTTTTGTTATGTTGTAAATGGGCTTTGGGTGTGTTTCTAAAGTCCATTTCATATAGGGTATTTTTATAATTTAGACTCCTATATTGGGTGTAATAGTGAATCTCCCATTAAATTATGCATATTGCTATAATTCAATGTTTAATTAGTTGATAACAAGTAGATGACTAAGCGATTTCTGATTTGGGTTATTTTCACAGAAGATAGATAGTTCCGGTCATCAAACCACATTGCAGGATGAGATTATTGAATGTACATACTAAGGGGAACAGTTGCAGCTCATCCAAAATTGCCCACCCCAACGTACCTTGGAATTGAACAACCCAACACAACGCATTATCATCAACAAAAATCTATTCAGCTCATAAATAAATAAAAATATATATATATATATATATTATGGTAGTTACCCAGTTTCAAGCTTCAAGGGGACGGCACCGGAGAGGCCTGGAATGTTCTTGACGGTTGTCTGCGACGCACCATAGTTGGTAAGTTGCAGGTGCACTAGAAAAATTGCTAGCCAGAGCCACAATAATGTGACACTGAAATTGACGTAGTTGTTAGAAGTACTGACGATCATTTTCTCTTTTTCTTTTCCCCTTCGAAACTTATTTATATGTTTCTGTTGTGGTTTGTGATTTTGATATTTGAATTTTAAAAATAATTTCAATAAATAAATAATTAATAAACTATTCTATTTCCAAGAGCAAGTCTTATAAAGAGCTCCAAGGAACTCTAGTGTTCCAATGTAACACTAATTTCAACTCAAACATGTTTGCATTAATATGTGAAAATTATGTGTATAATAAGTGAATTTTGTGTGTATTATTGAATTTTTTTTGTAAAAAACACGTGTATTAAACATGAAAAATACGTATGTATGTGTACAATACGAGTATTGTATATTTGCTTTCTCAAAAATATACATTTTACCGAGTCTTTAAAACGTGTACAGAAAACGGATGTATTATTGAAAAATATGTACGTACGTGTATAATACAAGTACTAAATGTGAAAATGCTAAAATTTTTATACGAGTAATAACGTTGGGAAAGTAAAAAATTAAAAGGGGACAATAGAGACTCGGGTAATGGCCTAATAGTAATAGATAATGATCTAAATTACTCTTATCGATAAAAGAAAATTATATTTAAAAAAAGGATCCCATAGAGCCGCTCGGCTATACTATATATATATATATATATATACACTCCAGTAACGCCGTGCGGAAATACTTTTAAAAAAAAAACCGTAGTAAACCCATGCGGCTGTGTGAAAACATATATAGCCGCACGGCTGTACTTGTTTTGAAAAAGAAACCGTAGTCAAGCCGCGCGGCTATACTATTTATAGAAAACAGAAAGGCCTGGCCCACGTGTCGAAATAAGTATAACAGCGGGGCTATACTATTTTTTTAAAAAAACCGTAGTAAAGCCGTGCGGCTTAACTATTTATATATATATAAAAAAACCCGCCTAGCGCCACATGTAAAAACAAGTATAGCCGCAGGCTACACGTTTATTAAAAAAACCGTTGTCCGCGCGGCTATACTATATTTTTAAAAATAAATAAATCATAGTTGCATTAGTTTATACTTTATTAATATTAATTGCTTATTTGCTCAGCCCAAAAAAAAGGTAAGTGAAAAACAGACGCAGGTGGGTTGTTTCTGACTGGAATTGGGTGTTGGTTTACATTTGTTATTTGTTTACACTATCACTATTAGTTTCTTCTTTCTTTATGTTTATTTATTGTTAAGTGTGCAGGTCATTTTAGATCCAGATTCAGTTTCATATTGATGTAAAGTGTCCAGTTCAGGCATCAACTTCTATTTTTTATGTTACGAATAAGATTATACTTTGATTTTTTCTTCTTCTTTTTTCCTCACGGGATTATTTTTTTATACAGGAATTAAAAGCAAAATGAGGATCAGAGTTGGAGGGAGTTATCAAGAGTAACATGAAAGCAGAACAAAAGGGAAGCATCATGGTGAGTCAACATAAGCACCGATCATGACTTCTTCGAGCAGTGAACCAAAGTCGCTCTTCTTCGTGGACAAGTCCAAAGGTACCTCATTCATACCTTTGTTTTTTTGTTTTTTGTTTCGAGTGACATAATTGCCTTTTTCTGCAGCTGATAATAACACATCCGTAATGACACACTGCGATAGACTTATTCCGAAACATAAGTCTACTGTTTTGATGGATTGTTTTAGTATTCTTAATATCTTGCTTCATATTAAGTTTTTTAGTTGTTTTCGTCTTCTTCTCTTTTTTTTTTCTTTTTTTTTCTTTTTTTTTTTGCGTAAATGCAGATCCAATTTGCTACATGAGGCTTCCAAAGAAGATAGTAGTAAGAGAGCATAAAATTGCTGCAGGAGGAGGTTCATGTACAAGCAGCAGCTAAAAGGATTTCAGGATCATAATTTAATTGTCATGATTTTTTTATTTTTTTATTTTTTGTTTTCTGTTTTCCTTTTTCAATGGTTGCAATACTAGCTTCAATTACTATATTTTGGTGTAACGAGTTTTGTTTTAAATAAAGACTTATTCAATTGCATCTATACCAAATTCGGTTCCATGATTAACTATGATAATTGATTTATTTTTATGAAGGTTATCAATGAATACAATACAACATATGTTACCAAATTATTGAAAAAAAGAATTTTTAAGGACAATTCAAACTAAAAATTAAAAACAGGAAAATGCTTTTTACCCAAGCTAATAAAAAAATTAAAATTGTTGATATAGGCATCTAGCAAAATACAATTGCAAAAAAATTAAAACGAAACTTTGTAAGTCGTGCATAGCGCGCGTGATTAAAAAAAAGCCTCTCGCACACGCGGAAGCGTGTGCAAAGAGGCTAGTACTTTATTAATATTAATTGCTTATTTGCTAAGCCCAAAAAAAAGGTAAGTGAAAAACAGAGTTACAATTAAGGTAAAATGAAAGAATTACAAATATTTATTTTTTGACTCAATGAAAATAAAGTGCTGAAAAGTCATGACCCTTTGTAGGGAAGAAAACTCATCACCCTTTTTTAGAAAATTATCATGCACATAATCATGTATTAATTTTTAAATATAGTCGAAACTAAACAAACTGGACAAATTTCTCGATAAACCAAGTGTAGCCAATTGAATGGATCCTCTCACCGAGTAGATCAACAAAAGTAATTTAACTACTACAAAGTATATCTGTAAACGAATCGGATTTGAATCAGATAAAAGAATTCATTTATAATCGGATTATCAGATTCGGACTATCAAATTGCACCTATCAATCCTTATCCGTTACGCATCGGATTCGGATCGGATTATTATCGGATTTATTTTGAGATGTACAAAAAATCAAAATTTCATTAGTAACCTTGTTATTTTAATGTATTTATCTACTTTTTATATCAAATTTCGATTTTTTTAAATCATAAAAATGACTTTTAAGTGTATTCTTAGTGCATATAAAACTAAAATTATTCATTTACACATATAAAATATTAATATAAAGCATAGAAAACTACATTGTACTTCATACTAAGTTGTCGGATTAGATTATTATATCGGATTGGATCACTATAATTCATATTCGGATCCATTTATAATCGGATTATTTGGATTCGGATTGTAATTTGATTGAGAAGTCCAATCCATCTCCTATTAATTACACCAAATTCAGATCGGATTTAGATCATAATCTGATCCATTGACAGGTCTACTACAAAGTAGACTTATTCACCCTTTGGAGCAATACAGACCCCGCATATATGTTTATTATTCGACTTAATTAAAAGAGAGTACTCATAATTCAACATCCTTTATATTAATCTTGACATAGTAGTAAAATAGATCAAAGAGGAGAATGCTCTAGCCACCTTTCGATCATATCAAAGCTTTCTCTGGGATTAAACTCGGGACCTGTATGACCTCCTCCCTGCACAATTGCAAATGGAGTTATTTGAGCGCATTTCCCAAGATTATATTAATGTAAGAGAAGGACGTTCTATATATATCATGCCTTTATGGTGGCATATGTCAAATGATACTCTCCATTCGAATAGCCAACTCTGTATCTGGAATAATGAATAAAGAGAACAAAAATAGAAGTTAATTGGATACTAAAACTTCTAACTGGAAGAAACGTAAATCTGAAGAAAAAAAATAAATCATGAAAAACAATAAAAACTGAGATAGATAATACAAACCCTGCAACTTGATTGTTAGAGAACCATGCTTTCCAGTCATCAACAATTGGCAAGCTCAAGGATTCTATCCATGCCTCTGTACTTACATGGGGAACTTTCAAGTCATGATCCCCACTGCAGAAGATGCCATAAAACTTGTAATTATTTTGTGGGAAAAGGTAGATTTGTTAATGCATTTGGTTGTTGTGGGTTTTATTTATGCAACTACAAGATAAATCAATACTATAATATTCTCATTAACAATAAAAATGAGACTGTTAGTTCTCAAAAGTCAAGAAGGAAAAATAAGAGGATATAGAAAAATAAAATGATATATGTATATCATATATGCAATGATACAAAGAATCAAAATTAAAAATTAGAGCGGATGTGCTCCCCACTCTGCACCCAAGTTCAAATCCCCCATCCTAGTTTAGATTAGTTTAAAATAGATTATTGCTTGTATAAAAATAAAAATAAAAACTAAAAACAATTTCAATATAGTTTTCCTTTCATGCATCTTTCTTCACCTATGCTTTTCCCCATCCTTTTCTCATCGTTTTCCATCAAAGTTTCCATCACTTTCCTAATTCATAATTTCTCATACCATATTTTTTACAAAAGAAAAACTGCTGTGAACCCTCAAAAGTTCAAAAGTATGATATAAACAATTTAATGTTATAATCTTACCTGTAGACAAAAGCCCGGAGGGATTTTTGCATGAGGTTTCGATGATAGTCAACACTACTTCGGACATCTTTTATGTAAGGTATTGAGCTATTGCATCTTGCCCATTCGGCTTTTGTTCCCTATTTCTCATAGTAAAATTGTCATTTTTTTTAATAGTGGCAAGTGTTATATATTCTGTTTAATTGCAAGCAACATATATATGTATATATGTATATATGTATACCTCCCGAATGTTGAGAGCTTTACGAACATTCATATCATTTGCCCAAACCTCAGAGTACCGTTGCCTCTCTACCTACAAAACCAAAAAATTTCACATATATCATCTAGTAGTAATAAAACACGTCAATTTTAGGTTAGTCCAACTCCTTATAAGCTCTTGCTAGGTTTCTAAACATTCCAATCTAGGACATTTCTTCACATTCTCATATGATCTAGTGGCATCGGAGGTCAGTGACGAAGCTGACCTTTTGAAGGGGCCAAAATATAGCTCGGTTTTTCTGATATTTCTAACCAATTACATAGCTTTATAACATTATTTCAGCATTTTTCAAAGGCCATGGACTAAAGTGAAATTTCATTCAAACTATATAAGGACGCAAAAGGCAATCCACCCTTGTCAATATACATTGAATTTGAGAGAAGCAACATTACCCGACATAGTTGTTCAGGAAAGGGAAAGCTTAAGAAATTGTCATCATCGATACCAGGAGCGCATGCAGGTGCCAATATATGACTCTCCTCAAGTCTGCTAATGCACTGCAAATGCATTAAGCACACCGTTTTAAAATCGAAGATAAAAACATGCATTTTGGACCATATTGAACATCTACCTAGCACATACCTCCTCGAAAGCTTGAAGATTGTTGAGGCAAAGCTCATTATTTGGATCCACATCTACGTATTCCCCCTTGCAATTCCTTTTGGTCGACTTCAAAAACATAAATTAAGCAATAGTAAAATTCAAAATTTAAATATATTATCTTATTGAAGTATGAAAAAGTTGAGCAAAAAGTCCATCTTGCATAAGTAGTATCAATCAAGAGCTTCCTTTGTTTTTCATATAATTATAAGTTATATTCAAAATTTAATTAGATGATTTTGCTCAGAAGTTGCAAGGAAAAGTTGATCTCTGAAACGAAACCAAGTGCGATATACATACCTCAAACATTCTAGTTGATATAAGCGTCATGCGATGAGCGAATTCAATTTGCGAATTCAATTCCTCTTTTCGATTTGTAACTGGATTGCCAATTACGTATCCCTGGATGCATTGAAAAGAAAAACTAACTTCTGAAACAATATTAATGTCATGAATTTGAAAGTGTAATAAGGTATCTATTTGGAATCATACTTTGAGATTCAAAGATGGCGCGATTCCAGCTTCAATACCTACAACAACAACAACAACGACAACAACCCTCCATAATGCTCAGAACAATCTTGGCTGAGTATGAATCACCAGCAATGCATATGTAAATTACCATTAGTTATCTCTTGAACAATGATCGGAACAATCTTCCCTGAGTACGAATCACCAGAAATGTAGAGTGGATTTGCAAGAAACTTGGGATGAGTCAAAAGCCACTGGAGATGATTTTAAGGAGCAAGAACACTTCATATTAGTATTCTCATGTTTTTTCCCCTCGCCATATATATAGTGTGACCAGAAAAATATAAGGAAGGGGGGTGATACGGAAATCAGAAAACCATTAGTAGTGTAAAATTAAGTTTTGTGATGAAAGTTGTCAACCAGTAAGAGTTCCCAAATTATGAATTTTATTGAACAAATTTTTTGTGCAAACTTGGCTCACCCTTTGAAGAAACTCAGAAGCTCGTTTTGCATGAATGGTGTCACTAGTGTTGTAGCCATCTGCTGTTGTGGAGTATGAGAAACCAGTCCCGGCAGGAGCGTCTAGAAATATTATGTTTGCTAACTAAAAAGAAAAATGCGCACTTTCAATATATCTTCAGAAGCATAACCATATGCATCAATTGGTCACCATGACCATTCATATGTAGGAAAGTTAAAGCAAGAGATGGAAATTCCAGACCTTTGTCCATGAGTATGGATTCAAAACAAGTTCTACTGGATGCTTTGTTATACTTGTAAAACTGAAAGATATTGGACCTGTAATGAATGAACAACTTACTTATCATGTCAAGTCAAGCTATGAATGGCAATGGAGCGAATCGGAGATGGTATGATTAAGATGGATAGTCAAGCAATCATGTCATTTATGGATATTGCTCAAAATAATTCCTAATAAGGGTGGAACCAAGAATTTTTAGACATGCATAACTTTTAGTTTGACAATATTTAATTTTATATCGAAAAAGTGAAGCTAGCTGAAAACAAAAATATGCATGCACTTTCAATATTGCCATCATCAGAGGCATAACCATATGCATCAATCGGTCACATAACCAAAACTGGAGATGGAAATTCCAGACCTTTGTCCATGAGTATGGACAAGTTCTACTGGATCCTTTGTTATACTTGTAAAACTGAAAGCTATTGGACCTGTAACCATTGAACAACTTACTTATCAGGGCCATCTTTCCCTATTACACCAACCGATGCATTCGTGGACCAGCTCAAATTGATTTGTAACAAGCTCTAAATTCATCGGAGATGGATCAGATCATCCTATATCTGATCTGATCTGATAAGAAAAAAACAACAACCTGATCCAAT